TTGTATCTATCCATAAACTGCCTTTCTTTTCGCGGGTCCCACGAAACTCCTAGCGATCTCATCACACAGTGTCCTCGGCCTAGTCAAGGTAACTTCTTGAACTTAATTTCTCTGCTCGCCAAACATAATTCAACTCTTAAGTTTCAATTAGAACACTTAAAAAAGGGACAAATATCATATTTATCAAAGACAATACAGAATGAAATAATTGACATAATGGCAAAAACAGTTAAAAATAGCATTTTAAATGACATCAAAGAAGCCAAATACTACACGATAATGTTCGACTGCACTCCAGATGTATCCCATACAGAACAAATGAGCCAGGTAATTCGATATGTAAAAAGAACTGGCGATGTGTGTGAAATAAAAGAAAGTTTCATTGATTTCATAGAAGTTGCTGGAAAGACAGGAGAGGGCATTTGTCAACAGATTTTAGAAAAATTGGTAGCTGATGATTTAGATATTGGACAATGTCGTGGCCAATCTTATGATAATGGGTCCAATATGGCCGGCATCCATAAAGGAGTACAAGCCAGGATTGCAGAAAGGAATGAGCTGGCCGAATTCGTACCGTGCTTGGCTCACTCCCTAAATCTTGTAGGTGTTCATTCTGCCTCATCATGCCAGGAAGCTATTAACCTATTTGGACTGATTCAAAAAGTATATTGCTTTTTTGTTGGCTCCACTACTAGGTGGGACATTATGAAAAAATACGTTAAAACAAATTTAAAAGGAAGTAGTCAGACGAGATGGTCGGCGAAACATGTTGCTGTGAATGGCCTATTAAATAATTTGCCAGAAATAGCGGAAGCCTTAGAAGAAGTTAAGCAAGCTTCTCATGCTCCAGAAGCTAAGTACGAAGCAGGTCATCTCTTAACTGCTATAAAGAATTTTAAATTTATACTTAATTTAACTATTTGGGCGAATATTCTCCGCGAAATCAATCGAGTGAATATAGAAATTCAGAAAGAAGATATTATCCTTGCCCGTTCCGTCGCACTAATGGATGGTTTGCTCAAAACTTTGCAAAAAATGAGACAAAATCCAATGGAATATTGGATAAAAGAGGCTGGAGAAGTTGCTGAAAAAAGTGGTGTTGACCCTATATTGCAAAACAAACGAATTCCGAAACGTAAAAAACATTTTGATGAGATGTGTGAAGACGAATTACAAACACTGCAACCTGTTCAACTACTTTCTAATGAAATAATGATGGTATTTGATCGAATCATATCAGAAATTAAAAAGAGGTTTGATTGTGCTACCATGCTGAATTTGAATTTTGCTTTTCTTAATGGTACTAATATTTTGAGAATGTCAATTGAAGAATTGCAAAAGTATGGAGCAGATTTGGCTCGAAAATACGAGCGAGATTTAAGCTCCGTTGAATTCTGCCAGGAACTCTACGTTTTAAAAGAGCAAGCTCCGCTTTTATTTGGTGATATAGAAAAGGCTAACAGTTTCTATCTCTTGCAACAGATCTATGCGCATGATTTGCAGGATGCTTTTCCTAATATTTGTATTGCCCTGCGAATTTACTCTACGCTTCCTACTACATCCGCAAGCTGTGAGCGAAGTTTTAGCAAACTAAAACTAATTAAAAATTATTTGCGATCTTCTATGAGCCAGGAACGCTTATCAAGTCTTGCAATCTTAGCCATAGAAAATCAAATTGCCCACGAGTTAAATTATGACAAGGCCATAGATTTATTTGCTGAACAAAAAAGCTCGAAGAGTAAAATTGTAATTTTAATTAACAAATGCAATAATATATTTGATTTTTATTTTTATTATACATATTTTTATTTTAAATCCTATCATGTGCTGTGTATAAAATACATATCCTACATGTTCATGTCTATATATCTGTAAATAAATAGACTTAACACAGAAAGAACAGCGATGGATGAATTATTTCCGGAAGGCCTATGTCCAAACGTCAATCAATTAGTGGACATCTGATAGCTGAAATTATAGACGATAAAGGTAAAAATAAAAATAAGTGTGCGAGGGCGGCATTTTTCAGTTTTTGCCCCGCCTAAAAAAAATTGAAGATCCGGGGCTGCGGAAACCCCCCCCTTTTTTTTATGAATTTTTAAAGTTTTGTTACATTTAAGGAAAATTCGCTTTCGTTTAATAAAAAAAGGGCGTCCGGCGACGAAAAACTCACATTCGGGTCCCGGTGGGAATGTGGCAGTATTTAGGGTGGGAAAAACGGTGGGAATTAACACTATTTTGACTCTGCTTCTGCTCCAGCGCTGCGGGAAGTGCAGCCCTTTCGCCCTTGCGTAACTAAGCACAGGCAACGTACGAGCCGTAGCGGCTGAGGCTGGTCGCCGAAGGCGACCAAACAGCCGAAGCTGCGCAGGTGCAGCAGCGGGCGAGGGCTGCATTCCCTCCGCGCTTCCGGATTTTCATATACACTCTAGGGGTAAGAGCGGAAAGACCACGTGGAAGTTGGGGTTGACAGATTCGGTTTTGTGATTTATACCTTCTGGTACTAGGGTTTGATCAAAAGAAATGAGCAAATATAATATTATAAAAACATTTATTTATATACATGGTTAATTACTTTAATTAGTTCCATAAAAGGATCCTTTTTTTTTTCTTTGCACTGACCTCCACAAATATTCTATAATAATGTCTGAAAAGTTTTCCGGGTGGTTATAATTGTATTTACTGAAAAATCTTTTAACCACCCGCCATTGCGATTCGATTCTTTGAGTATGAGTGCCATCAGGGGCAACAAATGGGTTCTCAGGATCTGAATGGTTCACCTTCTTGTGAATGTACCCATGTTGCCCCAAACAATCATAAGCCCTCCAGAAGTCTGTATGGATTGTGGTGCCCTCAACCACATGTTTTTTTAATTAGGGGCACTAGTATGTCCGCTGACCTGATGTTTTCAGGACACACCTCTAGTCGTAAATCCTCACTTCCATCCTCAATGAGGCCGAGGATCCAGTGGCCCTCAATCTGCCTTCCTAAAATCAACAATAAACAATTTAGAGTTAGTAAATATTCAAGATATTTATTTATTTATTTACTCTATATTGTACAGTGTACACCAAAACCCAATAGTACAAAATTACAAAAAAAAAAAACAAATACAAAAGTACAAAATTTTATAGCAGAATATGTACAACAGGCTGTCTTATCACTCTGAAACTGATTTCTTCCAGATATTTTGGCTTTAAAAGGTATTCAAATATATTTAATAAAAGGTATTAAAAGATAATTTGGGTTCAAAAGTAAACTTTAAAATAAATAATGTGTAATAATTTAAGACTAACATAGGTTAAGCTAATTTACTAACATATTATGGACTATATGTAGGTCTGAAATAAATTTAATTATCATTATATTATTATTATAAATATATTGTTTCAGTCTGTAATATAAGAAAATCAAATTACCTTTATTATATTTCCGTTTTCCAAATTTTGACTCGTCTATTTGGACTACTTTTCCTGGGCCACCAATCTTGCCGATGGCCTCTTGTTACTCTATTTGGTAAATGACGACTGTCTCCCGGCAGTAATTGTACCAATTGCAGACAGTCGCCATAGATAAGCAGCCTCCCTCTATATCTTTTTCTGGGTCTTCGTGGATTGCATCTTCATAGCTCCAGCGATGCACATAACAATACATCAGATAGAATACCCGTGGCAATGACATTTTAATATTTTCAAACCAGGTGCCCTTGCCACGAGCTACCCTGGATCGGGCTCTGCAATTTCCTTTATTGCAAACAAAGGAGCCCACATTTTTATTTTGCCCATATACCACTTTCATTGGCACTCTATGGGTGCGGCACTCCTTAGTGGCAGGGATTAAGCCATTTTCAATGGCAAACTCCACACACTGTACTCTGGTACCGAGTTCTCGCACGATTCGGGGTAAATTAAAAAATTTAGCTCCTTCTTCCACATATAAACGCCTGCACACAAAATCACCATAAAGCTCCGCGAAGGGTACTACATCCGTTGCGGCGGCGTCGCTTGCGTTCGACGGACCGGCCGAACTAGTTGACGGCGTAGAGTCGTCGGCCATCTTGGGTCTCTCAGGTAGACAGACAGGTAGGCAAAGTCCAAGAAAACGTGCAGGGGTCTTCGTAGGGCAAATCAGTGGTCCCGTATTCGAGCACGGGTCTTCGTCAAGGCAAATCACAGGTCCAAGAAACAAGCAGAGGTCGAAAATAGAGCAGGCGGTAAACGGAGGTCCGATAATTGAGCAAGGGTCAAGAATTAGGAGCAAAAAATGAGCGCAAAACATTCAAAGTCCGAAGGCGAAAGTGGAATGGATGATGACTAAAAAACAATACGTGGTTTTACATCGTATGTTAGAGTAGGATAGCACTATAAATAGATTAATAGATCATACAAACTATACTATTGTTATCTCTTTCTAATAATTATATCCTTGTTGCTTATTTTTTTTTAAAACAGAGTACAGACCATGCTCTATTGCTATCTCTTTGTAATTAATATATTCTTATTTCGTATTTGTATCATTTTTAAATGGATATAACCTCAAAACTATAATTGTCGATATCTCGAAAACTAAAGATTTCCGGCATAAAAAAACAGCTAGATGATAATTAATAGTGTCATTGCCTGTCAACTAAAGCTAAAATGATCAAATAATTATGTTGTTATTTCGTTTCGTATCATTTTTAAATGGACATAACCTCAAAACTAAAATTATCGATATCTCGAAAACTAAGGATTTCCGGCATAAAAAGCAGCTAGATGGTAATCAATAGCATCATTACCTATCAACTAAAGCTAAAATGATCACTTAAATCGTGCAGCAGATTACTAAAGCCGACCTGAGGGGGAGGCCTGTGCCCAGCAGTGGGATGTATATAGGCTGTAACTTTAGTTTACTTTATATTCTACATATTGATGAAAAAGCTTGATAGACCTTAATGCTATATTCTATTTTCATAATAATAATAGATTGATATCTCATGCAATGATAAAATAATATAATACCTTTTTTCCTCTGGGGTTTCATTAGCCTTCAATAGTTCTTTTTGCTTCCGTTTTTCCTCTTTTAGCCTTAACCTTTCGGCTTCTAACCTCTGCAACAATTTCAGTTCTTCCTCATCACTATCACTGCTGCTACTACTGCTACTGGAGGAACTGCTGTGCTTCTTTTTTTTCCTTTTACTCTTTTTATGTTTAGATGAATCTCTTTTCTTCTTTTTGTGTTCTTTACTAGAAGACCTATGTCTAGATTTTACAGGAGACTTTGATTTAGAATATTTATCTCTATCTCTGATGTATGATCCATCTCTGTGTGCTGGTGATTTACTTCTGGATTGTCTTCTGTGCCTACTGACTTCATACTTGGATGACCTAATAGAATGTATAATTGAACAAATAGCCATAGTTAAGATTTTAAGATTTGAAATAATTAAAAGCGACTACAATAGTGCAGTAAGTGACAATGCAAAAACATGAAGTACATTAATACTTCTCTGTAGTTTGTGTATAATTTATATTAAGTAACCTACCATTTAAACATAAAATTTCCAAGTTGGTTTTTTTTTAAACTTACATATTGCCGATGGATTGCTACCGCAATGTATTAAAAGTTGGTACAACTATTTTAAATACAAATAATAATCCAAAAAAGCACGATATAATCTCCCAGTTAATATTACTATTTGTTTTTCAAAAATATTTTATCCATATTTATTGATGCCAAATTTGACAATGACAAAAACAGTTAAAACAGATAAACAGAGAATCAGAGAAGAAATAAATCACTTTGACTTTTTATTAACATTTTTGGCTTGGATACTTGTTTTTTAAGCCACTTCTTCATTTTGTAGATACACTCGACATCTCGAGAAACATATACAATTCAGCTCTGAAAAGAACTATTATATTATCAGCATAGAACATAATATTGTTGGTTACGAAGATGTGAACACGCGCAACAGACATATCCGTTTGACGCGAAAGCTCAGAAGAAAAGGGGGTCCTCCAATTTTTTTTTGCACCCAGAAGCAAAGTATAGGGCTACCCTCCGGGAAGCTGGGGAGCAGCTGGCTGCGTGGTTATGTGTGACTCATTGAGAAACCTCAGTGCCTACCCACTAATCATCACCTGAGACTGACTTTGAACTGGTAAGGTTTTAAAGCCTTACCAGAACGACCCCTTTTGGGAAAGGGGGACGCAGGGTCTAAATAAATTAGGGAGTAGGGACTGAAAAAATTAACCGACTTGGTATTACATCGATCTCACAACATTTTACGGTAGAAGAACTTAGTAGTTGCGAGACATGGTTTTGTTATATTTTTGATGACATACATTCTAACGTAAATAACTTTATATGTATGAACTGTAAATAAACAGTTTAAAGACCTTAGAATTGTGAAACAGCTTTGATATCAGGCGATGGAACCGCCCGCGTATTCATTTACGCGGCGTGTGTGTAATATGGGTTGTCACGAAAATGGAAATAAAACTTCCACGTTTCGTCTGGTATATAAGGTGGCTGGAGGGGGGCCTTAATTCCGCTACCATGTTAAGGGGGGATGAGTATAGCACCCCTCCCCTCCTTAAAATGGTAGCGGAATTAAATATAGATCTACTCCAGGAGGGTACCAGCACCTCTGGAGAATCCCTCGCTGAGGGGACTTCATTCTAACCTAAACGCCGTTCACTACCATCTTGAGACGGCGAGGCCGGCTCTGCTCTTTCAGACCGAGACACAGGTATCCTCTCCGGTTGATGCTTTGTATCTCTCCTACCCGGGGTACAAACTGGGACACTCATTGTGCCTCGGGCTGGAGTTTGCTTACGGTATATGTCAGAGAGGACATCTGTTCTCGACGAACAGACCGACTCTTCGACCACGTACAAATGGCTACAGATTCTTTGCTTCAGCAGATCCCCTCCGCAGAGATCGTGATCCTCGGCAATTTCAACACCCACCACGCCGAATGGCTTGGTTCACGTTTAACTTATCATGCGGGGAGATCTGTCCATGCCTTGGCATATGGTTTGACACAACTGGTTACTTCGCCTACTCGGATTCCAGACGTGGAGGATCATACACCTTCCCTGTTGGACCTTCTGCAGACCTCTCATCCGGACGGATATCAGATTTCCATTGACGCCCCTTTAGGCTCCTCGGACCATTGTCTTGTCCGGAGTGTGGTGCCACTTACGCTGAAATCGCGGTTGCATTCTGAAGGCTGCTGCCGTGTTTGGCACTACAGGTCGGCTGATTGGGTTAGGATGCGGTCTTTCTTTGCATCCTACCCTTGGGGGCGGGTTTGCTTCTCGTCGGACGATCCCAACGTTGTTGCTGATTCTGTCGTTGATGAGGTATTTCAGGGTATGGAACTTTTTATTCCTTCCTCTGTGGTGTCCATCGGAGGCAAATCTCAACCAAGGTTTGGTCGCTCCTGTTAAATAGCATCATGCTATAAGCAGGCGTGCTACCAAGCCTGGGCAGAGGCATCAACGTCCCGGGATGTAAACACCAGCGCTCTAAAAAGAAGTATAATTCCGCCTACAGGTCCTTCAATAGAGTGATTGCCAAGGCAAAGTCAATTTATTGCCAAGCTAAAGCATGTTGACGTACGTTAAACTCCAGTTGCACCATTAACTTTTATTTCTTTATCATTATTTTTTATTTTATTTTTTTTATTTGTAACACAACGCATGCTGTGATTGCCTATAATTGTAAGAGCAGTTAATTATGTAAATTTATAATGCTGTAATGTAACCAAAGAGATTTATCCTACCCTACACCTTTAAACGAGCAATTCATGTATATATATAATCGGAATTTCGGAAACGGCTCCAACGATTTTCATAAAATTTTGTGTGCAGGGAGTTTCGGGGGCAATAAATCGATCTAGCTAGGATTTATTTTTAGAAAATGTCTTTTTGTCCGTGTTTTTACGCAATGAAAAACTGCTACAATATCGTTAGAATAAGAAGGTAAATTTTGACAGTTTATTAATGATTACAAATAGCTTAATTGGTATATTGGACGGTCACAAAATCGCAATACCATGGTTCGAGCCCAGACCGACCGACCGACTTTTTTTAATTTTTTTTTCAAGTTCCTTTCTTTTTTGAGAAAATCTATTTTTTTCGAGCCCTTTTTTTAGTATTTTTAACAACACGACAATTTAAATTAAACTAATTGCACTCATGGTTTTTTATTCAAATAACCAGTTTAGTTTTTTCTATTGTGTCGCGAAGATCAAAAAATATTATTCGTATTTCATCAGTATGTAATTTGTATCTAAATATAATTTCCAAAACACACGATTTAAAAAAAAAACCGAGCGAAAAATACCGAGCAAAGCTCGTTCAACCGGGTACTATATATATATATATATATATATATATATATATATATATATATATATTCCGTTTGAAATATTTATTTCGTTGGCCTAGTTTTTTAATTTTAGCCTTATGGCGTATATTTTGTTTTTGTAAAATGCGAACTTGCAACTTCAATGCAATTTTCCTCGGACTTTCAAATATTGACTCAGAGTCTGATACAACAAGACTGATTGGTGTAACTCTGGTAGCCTCCAGATTTGTTTCAATATTCTGCAATTATGAAAAGGTGATTTTAAGAAAAGATTGAATAAAATCTATTGTTAAGACTAATAGGCAAATGTTCAGCTTTGTTTGGCTGAACCCCTATAAATAACATACAACTTACTTCACTTGCTAAACAAGGAAATGATCCTTTTTTTTAAATTGTACGACCAATCTTTTCGTAGTACATATCTTCGCTTCTAAAGTACTTTGAGCATAATTTTGATATAGAATAGTTATAGAAGGCAATTTTCTTTTGTAAGCAGTTTATAAATTTTATGTTATTATATCAATTTAATGAGATGCAATACTTATAGACCCACATCAATAAAAAAAACCGTCACTTTAAGTTTTTACCTTATTTCCCAACTCAGGATTAACCTACAACTTCTTGCATCTTATATCTTTAACAGTGTTAATTGTTTTTAATGTAACAAACCTATAGCCCTCCCCTATCAGTGTAAGCCAGGATCTTTAAGGCTCCGTCTTTGAAAACCACCAGACAATGAAGCACGATGAGTAAAAGTACAGCAAGTATCTTCAGCATGCTCAAAAGCAACACAGAAAATCTTATCAGCATGCGTAAACAAACATTTTCCCATCCTTTCTCCACATAAAGTAAGCTACTTAGCATAGTTGGTATGTGCTACTCATCTTTGTTATAGTTTATAAAAGATAGCTTGATCTCTGCGACAGCTGTCAGTAAAATCACGCCTATGAAGTCCTGAATTTCCTAGTAGTACAGACAGTACCTGTCAATGTCATACTTTATGGGCATGCCGACCTATGATTATAATTAGTGCATGCCCATAAAATATGACATTGACAGGTACTGTCTGTACTACTAAGAAATTCAGGACTTCATAGGCGTGATTTTTACTGACAGCTGTCGCAGCTATCTTTTATGAACCATAGTATGGGTACAGTATCGTTGACTGTTTCACCTCCTTAAATATTGTAGATGATTAAATCGGATTTCTGTATTTTTTATCGATAACGCCAATCGTCAATCACTAACACATTTGTAAATAAATAGTGACACTACTGGATAACAGAGGGCGCTTATAACAAAATAATAAATGTTCTAGAAAAATCAACTAGATATAATAAAATTAAAAGAATATTTTGTAAGCATACATTGTAATTACGATAATAAACCGAAATCACGTTCATTTTTTACTCCATACCGTGACTTATAATATCTTAATGCACAACAAGGCATATTTTCTTTAAAAATAATTTTTAAATTTACGAAGCGATTGCGTCTTGACCTTTTGACGATGTCACTAAGACTAAATGACAAAAATCGGAGATATATCCTATGGGACAAAAGTTACAGACGACAATTTTGTTGCTGATGTCCGGTCTATTACTACTACTACTTAAATGTCTTTGAATGTATCCAAACATTAATTGCTGTTTCTTATGTTGGTAATCCAATTAAATAAATAAATAAAAAACAACTAATTACTGAACTCCCAAACTTGTATTTCGCAACCTGACATGAAAATTGGTTCATCAACCCTTGGCCGCTTTTACCGTTGCCCCAACTTTAGAAAATAATAATTCTAACGGCACAGAATTTTCGGATATTACTGTTAGGAAGATATACGAAATATTAAAAATGATGTATCTTAGCAACGTTGACTTGTAGATTGTCCCGCTATTGTAAATTATAAAAATAAAACTTCTATTAATTTTTCTTATATTGTTTATTTAAAACTAATGTATATGTTTTAAATCTTAACATGGTAGCAGAGCGAAAAAAAAGCAATTAAATTTTGTGATACAAAAGTTCTACATTTAGGATATAAATTTTGGTCGAAACCTTTCTATAAAGTATTCTGAACTTTATTTAAAACTTTTGAAGGTGGATAAATCAATAGGTGAAGCGTCAATGATACAGGTACGATACCTAGATTCTAAGAACTGGAAGACGTGCAATGGATATTATTTAGGGTAAACGATATAAGTCCATGCTAACGGACACAGCTATAGCTGAAGAGAATCAGAAATATGAGAATGACTTAAAAGAGTTTATGAATGTAGATAGTACAATCCTAATAATATTTACTACGAACATGTCTGAAGAGACATTGCAGCAAGTCATGCGTTTCACTTCTTCGGGATGAATTAAACCATCTTAATAATGGGGAAACAGAAGACAAAAGTTACGAAATTTGTCTTGATTTCTTTAAATATCAAAAGGAAACCAATCACAATATGGCTACCCATATATCGACATTAAAGAATATTTTGCACGAATTAAACGAAAATTTAGAGTTCGCTGAAAATCGTCCTGATATTTTACTGATTTGTAAAATTCTTGACACATTGTCAGTTCAATGTTATGGATTCAAAAGCAGTTGGCACTTGGCAAAAAAGGATAGAACAATTAAAAATTTAACTTGCCAGCTATGTGCCTATGAGAAAGCTTTGTTTATCAGAGTAGATGTTGAAAATTGTGCTGAGGCGCTATACGCAAAACCAGAAAGAAAAATATGTGGAAAAGATAAGAATTGGACAAATTTTTTCAAATATGATTACTGTGGGGAACAAGGACATAGAGTAAGGAAATGCAAGAAGTGGATCAGTGAAGGAAGGCCACCTAAATAATTAAGCGTGAATATAAATCAAACTATTCAAACGGTTTTATTGAATGACAATCTAATAGATACGACAAATTGGTATGTGGATAATGGTGCTACCAGTCACAACCAATAAAGGAGATTTTTTAAACATTTTGAATATTTTAAAACTTCCCACACCGTCACAGGGGCTAATGGGCAAAGTATCGAGGCTGTTGGAATTTTTGGTACTGTCCGTGCTGAAGCTTATGTTAAAGGTGGACTAGAAAATGTTTTACTAAAGGATGTTTGGTATGTACCTTCGATTACAAGAAATCTATTTTCTGTGCTTGCTGCAGAAGATCGCTCACCAAATTGTTTTTTCGAATAAACTGAAAATGCTGAAACCTGTTCATTGAGAGTAAATGGAAAAGTTGTGCTAACTGGAAATAGGCAAAGACATGGAGGGTTATTTAAAGTGTGTGCCACCTACGCTACATATTAATCAGATAACAACTTCCAATTTACTATAAGTTTATCAGGAGAGGATGGCGCAAAAATAAGAAAAAATAAGAGAAATGTAAGATAGTTGATAGATAAAGAGCTCGGCATTAAAGTGGATCTGGACAAAGAACTTTGCGAAGGATGCATAAATGGTAGAGACCACCGCAAAAGTTATGTAACGAGACCAAGAGCATCAAAGGCAGGTGAAAAATTTTGTACCGATGTTGCGGGCCTTTCCCGTATTCATTTCAGAAACACAGATATTTTGTTTTATTTAAAGACGACTTTACCAATTCTCGCTTTATCTATTTTCTGAAAGAGAAGTCAGAAGTAACCTCAACGCTTAATAATATGGTAGCAGAAATAATGGCGTCTGGGCATAAAATAAGAGAAACTATTTCTGATAATGTGGGAGAATTTGATAACCAGAAGGCTCGGGATATTTTACGCATTAATGGCATTATTCTAAGATTAACTATGTCATATACTCCCGAACAAAATGGAGCATGCGAAAGAGATAACAGGACAATTGTAGAGGCTGCACGTTCGATGATATATGCTCATGAAGAAATAGCAAAAGGACTATGGGCTGAAATCGTAAATACCACGGTTTACATTTTAAATCGAACAGGGCCAACGAAGATTGCAGGAAAGTCTCCTCATGAACTGTGGCATAGCAAAAACCCAGCTATTAAACATCTGAGAATTATAGGTAAACAAAAGCGCTATACGCAAAACCAGCGTATAGCGCCTCAGCACAATTTTCAACATCTACTCTGACAGTCGAAGCTTTCTAATGGCATATAGCTGGCAAGTTAAATTTTCAATTGTTCTATCCTTTTTTGCCATTAAGAGCTAACTGCTTTTGAATCCAAAATATTGAACTGGCAATGTGTCAAGAACAAATCAAATCACAAGGTTACAAATCAATAAAATATCAGGAAGATTTTCTGCTGACTATAAATTTTTG